CTTGAAAGTAGAGATATTTGGGCTGGGGATGTAATGCTTCTTAATAACTACTTACCAATGTCCATTAGAACCTGCATTCATAATAGTATTTTTCACATTGCTCCAAAGCATTTTTCAGCCATTTATGTGCTTTTGAAATGTAGCCACTGTTGTAATGGAAGAAATGCAGCAGAAACTGTGACACAGCAAGCTCCAACAAACAACGGTGTTGCAGTTACTAAATACTCTTTTTCCAGTGATACAAATTGGGAGATGTTTTACATCCACCCAAGAAACCACACAGGCTCCAGTTTAAAATCTCACCCACAAAATGGACACCTGACATTACAGCACACCTTTAATACTGCACCGGAGCATCAGGTAGGACTTTAGATTCAAGTCTCTGAAATTACTTGGAGCATAGAATCTTCTTCTCATAGGCAGAACTTTACAAGATGATTAATAGTTGATACTCCTTTACGAAGGAAAGATGGTGCAGGATGGTGGGTATAAGACTCATAGAACACTGGTATCAAATTGGGGGCAGGTTGGGGCTTTTATAAGTCACAAAAGAGCCAGGACCAGTATAGTTTTACTTGTACTTTTGGCAACTGTTTAAACTAATTAGATTAATCAATCAGATTAATTTCTCAGGGGGATGGGAACCACCGTGTAGGAGAAAGGAAAAACAAGGTGCGTAAAGGATTTTAAGAGACGTGTAGTACTAGACTAGGAAATAGCAAGGTAGTAAGAAGTGTTAGAGTTAGCAGGAATAAAGTCTAAATTATATATAGAGATTTTCTTTATTCATTCATGGGATATGAGTATCACTGATAAGGTCAGCATTTACAGCCCGTCCATATTGCATTTGAGGTGGTGTCAAGGATTTGCTTCTGCCCTGATCAGAAGATTCTGGCCATTAAAGCTTCCAAGTCTGCTTCCTGGAGGGCTCTGGTGCAGTGGTAGTGTCCCTACCTCTGAATCATAGGGTCTGGGTTCAAGTCCCACCTGCTCCATTGGCATATCATAATATCTGAACAAGTTAATTTTTTTCAAAGTTTCATTCCATAATGTTGCGAAGCATTTAAGAAAATTAGGTATGTATCTGGACTACAAAATATTGAGTGTAATTCTGGTTATTTGTAGTCTTGTTATGGATGAGAGCTTAAACTGAGCAATATCAGACCTGTCATCTATTGTGCACCTCGGCTGATATTTACTTCCATTGAAATCAATATTACTGTCACGACTGTCACAGAAGGGTCTCTGGATCTGAAACGTTAACTCCGTTTTCTCTCCACAGTCAAAACTACTGAGCTTCTCCAGAAAGTCCAGTCTTTATTACTGTCACTGTGTCACCTCTTTGAAACCATTGAAGTCCCTATTGCCACCACATTTCTAGCTGTCCTGATAATCTCTTTTCTGTAATTATCACTTGTTTGTTGCTGACACTGATCTTTATTTCATAGTTCTGCCCGGTGTCCCTATTTTCATTGCAGCTACAGCTCCAATAGCCTCATGGCTTACCTAGCTTTGGGTTCTTCTCAGAATCTGCGCCAGCTGGTAGTGCTATGATATGATTATGCTATCCATGCTGCACAATAATTTAAAAGAGACTGTACTCATGTATCCATGGTGCCTTTCATGACCTCAGGACAACTCAAAGCATTGACAGCCAATGATACACTTTTAAAGTGGAAGCACTTTGAACATACTCAATGATGCAGAATTCACAATTCACTGGTAAAGAATTCCTAAGATTGACAACCCTTTCCATGAAGATTTTTTCCTCATCTCAGTATCAAATGATCAGTTCCGTAACCTAAAACTGCATCCCCATATTCTAGATTCCAGAGTCAGGGCAAGACCTCACCTTTGTAAATTTGAGAATATAGGCCTAATATACTCAACATTTCCTCATTGGTCAGCCATGTCATCCTTAGATCTTGAGTTCAAAACTGCACACAATGCACAGGTGTGGTGTCACCTTGTGTAGTTCTGTATAGTTTTAGCAAGACTTCTCTTGGGATAAAGACCAGCATTGGATTTGCCTTCCTAATTGCTTGTTGTAACTACATGCTGACTCTCTGCAGTCACTGTACAAGTACACACAAATTCCTTTGGACATCAACATTTAGAAATTTTGTGCTTTAAAAGAATTCTGCTTTTCTAGTCTTTCGTCCAAAGTAAACAATCACACACTTCCCTACATTAAACGGTACCTGCCTCCTTGTTGTACATTCACTGAAACTGCTGACGTCTCTTCGATTCCTTCTTATCATTTACATTCTGCTGTCTTCATTCCAATAAAAACCTTCCCTTCATTTTGTCCACTCAGCTCTCTCTTTTTCTTTGAACTTGTTTAAAAACTGTAATAACTTAGTGCTGTTGAAAGATTATTGACGAGATTATCATCTCCCATCGAGGTGCGAATCAGACTACAGAATGCAGAATTTAATGCTGAAAAATATTCCTCTGCCTTTCCAACCCCACACCATTTCCGTGTGGCCATTTCTTTGGTTGAGAATACCTTAGGTGCAAAAATCCACAAGCAACTCTCTGGGGTTGGGACTCTTGTAAGGACCACATGGAAGATGTATGGTGATTGGTAGAAGGATTAGAGGGAACCTGAGGAAAAGCTTTTTCAATCAGACAGTTTTGAAATTCCATGCCTGGGTCGGTGGGCTGGGGAAGAAACCCGCAATAGAATGGGATTATACTCATTGGAATTCAGAAGAATGAGGGGACATCTTATTGAAATGTATAAGATTATGAAGGGAATAGATAAGGTGGCAGGGAGGTTGTTTCCGCTAGCAGGTGAAACTAGGACTAGTGGGCATCGCCTCAAAATAAAGTGAAGCAGATGTAGGACTGAAGTCAGGAGGATCTTCTTCACCCAAAGGGTTGTGAATCTGTGGAATTCCCTGCCCAGTGAAGCGGTTGAAGCTACCTCGCTGAATGTTTTTAAGGCAAGGCTAGATAAATTTTTGAACAGTAAAGGAATTAAGGGTTATGGTGAGTGGGCAGGTAAGTGGAGCTGAGTCTCAAAAAGATCAGCCATGATCTTATTAAATGGCGGGGCAGGCTCGAGGGGCCAGATGGCCTACTCCTGCTCCTAGTTCTTATCTAATGTTATCTTATCTTATGTTAAATTGTTTAAGAGGAACATGGATCTGCATGCAAAGCTGGTTAGATCATATGGAATACAGGAAGAACTAGCCATTTGGATACAGAACTAGCTCAAAGGTAGAAGACAGAGGGTGGTGAAGGAGGGTTGCTTTTCAGACTGAAGGCCTGTGACCAGCGATGTGCCACAAGGATCAGTGCTCGGCCCACTCCTCTTCGTCATTTATATAAATGATTTGGGTGTGAACATTGGAGGTATGGTTAGTAAGTTTGCAGATAACACCAAAATTGGCTGTGTTGTGAACAGCAAAGAAGGTTCCCTCTGAGTACAACGGGAGCTTAATCAGATGGGCCAATGGGCCGAGGAGTGGCAGATGGGAGTTTAACTGAGATAAATGTGAGGTGCTGCATTTTGGTAAGACAAATCAGGGCAGGACTTATACATTTAATGTGAAGGTCCTGGGGAGTGTTGCTGAAAAAAGAGACCTTGGAGTGCAGGTTCATAGTTCTTTGAAAGTAGAATCACAGGTAGACAGGATAGTGAAGAAGGTGCTTGGTAGGCTTGCTTTTATTGATCAGTGCATTGACTAAAGGAGGTCATGTTGCAGCTGTACAGGACATTGGTTAGGCCACTTTCGGAATACTGCATGCAATTCTGGTCTCCCTGCTATAGGAAGGATGCTGTGAAACTTGACAGGGTTCTGAAAAGATCTGCAAGGATGTTGCTAGGGTTGGAGGGTTTGAGCTATAGGGAGACGCTGAGTAGACTGGGGCTATTTTACCTGGAGTGTTGGAGGCTGAGAGGTGACCTTATAGAGGTTTATAAAATCATGAGGGGCATGGATAAGGTGAATAGCCAAGGTCTTTTCTCCAGGTGGTGGAGTCCAAAACTAGAGGACATAGGTTTAAGGTGAGAGGGGAAAGATTTAAAAGGGACCTATGGGGCAACTTTTTCAGGCAGAAGGTGGTGCATGTATACAATGAGCTGCCAGAGGAAGTGGTAGAGACTGGTACAATTACAAAATTTAAAAGGTATCTGGATGGATATATGAATAGGAAGGGTTTAGAGGAATATAGGCCAAATGCAGGCAAATAGGACTAGATTAATTTAGGATATCTGGTCCACATCGACGAGTTGCTGTACGTCTCTATTTGCTGTAATAAATAGACTGAACACTAGAGCTATGTTAAAAAGCGAAACCTACGGTTACTGTTGGAAGAACAAAAGACATGTTTCTCATCTGGTTTTCCTTTCCCATCCCTGTAATGGGTATTTGGATCTCTGTGTGTGATTTTGTACGCGCTCTCTTTGACCTTGCGGCTCTTCTATTTGCATCATACAGCGGGGCCCTTCAACGGGAACTCAAGGCAGGAGGAGCGGTCAGAGCTCCACCAGCTTGAGGAGGGGAAGGGCCGAGAGAACTGTATTAACCGAGTATGAATCCGGCCGGTGGATCCCGATCACTGGGTGACCGCAGTCGGATCCCTGCAGCAGAAAAAAGGACCGAAAATGGAGACAGGAGCTCTGCGCATGTCCGGCTTGTGGCAGCCGTGCGCATGTGTAAAGGTATTGTCGGATCGAGGCGTCTGCGCTCATGTGCAGGAAGTGCAGTCTGATTGGGCCAGTTGTGCGCATGTGCGGGAGGCGCAGTCTAATTGGATAGGTATGCGCATGTGCAGCAGCTGTCGCCTGGTCTGAGTATGGAGGGAGGCCAAGTGCAGTCGCTAACACCTGTGCTGGCCGAGGTTTCCAATTAATGATTACCCCAGAGCTGTACAGAATGCTCTCCCTGAAATATGTACCCATTTTGTTTTGCTTTCACCCATAAAGCCTTTTTTTCTACTCATGATCATCCCTGGTCCTTCCTCGTCCAGAACGCCAGGGGTATTGGCAGCAAACTGTCCTGATTAAGCCACCGCCTTGAACAAGGTGGAGCCAGCCTTTCTGTTCCTAATCACCTGGCTGGATATTAAGGGGAAGGTAAGAACTGTGTGTATGACACACAGCATATTTGAATAGTATGTGAGTGACTAGCTGGTCAGATATCCAGTTCACCCAAGAACATGCGGTTCTGCTGGGCCTGCTGTGTTCATCCAGCTCTGCACCTTGTTGTCTCGGATTCTCCAGCATCTGCAGTTCCTACTATCTCCGGTTATATGGTATGTGGGTGATATGGACCAAGACAGAATTTGTGAACAATTCCAAGTTTCTCTTGAAAAGCTGTTGATGGAAATTGACAGTCACATTCTTTGTTAGGAAGGGAGACCAAAACTGCGCACAGTACTTCAGGTGTGGTCTCACCAAGGCCCTGTGTAATTGCAATAAGCCATCCTGATTTCTGAACTCCGATCCTCTTGTAATGAAGAGCAGTACATGATTTGCCTTCCTAACTGCTTGCTGCACCTGTCTTTCTACTTTCATTGACTGATGTACAAGGACGCCCAGATCTCTCTGTACATTCACACTTCCCAATGTATCATCATTTAATAATACTCTTAGTTTCTGTTTTACACATATGAGCATACAACTTCAGATTTAGCCACTGTGCTATATCTGCCTTATGTTTGTAGATCATAGAATCCCTACAGTGTGGAAGCTGGCCATTCAGCCCATCGAATCCACACTGACCCTCCAAAGAGCATCACACCCAAAGCCACCGCTCTACCCTATTCCTGTAATCCTGCATTTCCCATGGCTGATCCACTTAGTTTGCACATTCCTGGATGCTATAGGCAATTTAGCATAGCCAGTCCACCTAACATTCACATCTTTGGTCTGTGGGAAGAAACTGGAGCACTGGGAGGAAACCCACACAGACACAGGGAGAATGTGCAAACTACACACTTGGCCGAAGGTGGAATCGAACCTGGGTCCCTGGCACCGTGAGGCAGCAGTGCTAACTGCTGTGCCACTCACCCAACTTTTCCACATCATCTTGAACATTCCTTGCATCTTCCTCACAAACTTCAATCCTCCCAGTTTAGTGTCGTCAACAAACTTGAAAATACTGCGTTTGATTCTGTCATCTAGGCCATTTATACATATTGTGAATAGCTGGGGTCTAAGCACTGATTCTTGTAGTATCCCGCTCCTTGCCACTTGAGAATAGAACCATTTATTCCCATTCTGTTTCCTGTCTGTTAATATATTAACCCCATCCCATGTGTTTTTTTTAAAAAAACAAAGAATGTAGATGCTGGAAAACAGAAACAAAATCAGAAATTGCTGGAAAAACCAAGCAGATATGACAATATCTGTGGGGAGAAAAGAGTGAATGTTTCCGGTCCAGTGACTCTTCTTCAGAACTGGACCAAAACTTCACTGGACCTGAAACATTAATTCTGCTTTCTTTCCACGTATCCATCAGATCTGCTGGATTTTTCCAAGAATTTCTGATTTTTTCCATGTGCCTTAATTTTGCTCACTAACTTGATTTGAAGGGCCTTATCCAAAGCAATATGAAAATCCAAATACACCACATCCACTGATTCCCCCTTATCTATTCTACTAGTTACATTCTCAAAAGCTGTAGTGGATTTGTTAAGAATGATTTGCCCTTCATAAATCTTGCTGACTTTGGCCAATCCCGTTAGTCTTTTTAAATGTTCTGTTTTCATTTCCTGATATAAACTCTTGCACTTTCCTCATGAACATTAAACTAACTCATCTTTAATTCTTTTTTTTTCTCTCCCTCCTTTTTTAAATAACGGAGTTAAATTTGCCACCTTCCAAACTGTAGGAACTGATCCAGAGTTTAATAGAATTTTGGCAGATCACCTCCAATGTATCCAGTATTTCCTGGGTCACTTCTTTCAGTATTTTGGGATATTGATTATCATGCCTTCAATGATTTGTCAGTCTTTAACCCCATTAATTTCCAAACACCATCTTCTCCCTAATACTGATTTCCTTCAATTTCTCCTCCTCACTGTTCCTTTGTCCCTAATATTTCTTGGAGGTTATTTGTGTCCTCTTCTGTGATGATAGAACCCAAGTACTGTATGTCTTCAATTCTTCTACCATTTCTTTGTTTCCCCATTATGATATCCTTGGCTTCTGACCGTAAGGGAGCTATATTAGTTTTTCACTTCATATTTATAGAAACTCCTCTGGTCAGTTTCCATGTTCCCTGCAGTTTTACTTTCAAACTTCATCTTTTCCCCCATCATGATTGAACCTTTCACTGAATTCTGAAATGCTCCCAATCCTTAGGCTTGCTTTTGTATTTTTGGCAATTTTATATGTCTCCACTTGGATCTAATAATAATTTCTTTTGTAAGCCGTGGTTGAGCCACCTTTCCTCTGTTATTTTTGTGCCAGACAGAAATGAATATTTGTTGTATTTCATACACACCTTCAAATATGAAAAATTGCCTATGTACCATCAACCATGTTGGTAAGGTTCCTCAATCCATCCTTGCCAGTGCACATCTGATACCATAATGGTTCCTGAATCTGTATAAAGGGACCCTAGTTTCTGATTTGATGACTTCATTTGCTATCTTAATGAAGAATTCTACCTTATGATAGCCGCTCTTCCCCAAGGGACCCTGCATAACATAATTTATCCTTACTTGTTATACAGTACCCAGTCTAGAGTGACGTGTTCTCTGGTTAGTTCCTCAATGATTTTCAGACCAATACATTCATGTATGTACTCCAGGAAATCTTCATCCACAATATCAATCCATACATAAATTAAAGTCATCCATGATTATATGATATTGATTTATCGTTTACTAAAAATGCCGCCTCACCACCTTTACCTTCAGACTGTCTTCCTAAATAATAAATACCTGTCGATTTTCATTTCCCATCCTTCGTATCCTGGAGCCATGTCTCTGTAATTGCATCTATATCATAACTGCTTGTATCTATTCGTAATGCTTATTCCTCACCTTTTTTGCGAATTCTCTATGCATTAAGGCATAAAGGCTTTAGACTTGTCTCTTTAACTCTGTTTGTCACCTTTCTAGTATCTGACTACATATCTGCTGTCTATAGAAAACTCCCAACATTGTGAGTTCACCCTTCCTATTCCTGGCTCCACCCATAATGCCTCACTGCAAGATCCCTCCGATGTATCCTCCCTCAACACAGCTATGATGTGATCCCTAATCAGCAATGCAACTCTCCCACCCCTTTTGTTTCCCTTTCAGTCCTATCTAAAACAGCAATATCCTGGAATGTTAAGCTGCCAGTCCTGCCCCTCCTTTAACCGTTTCTTTGAAATGGCAATAACATCACAATTCCATGCCGTAATCCATGCTCTTAGTTCATCTGTCTTACCTGTCACACTTCTTGCCTTGAAGTAAATGCTGACCAGACCTCTAGTCCCTCTGAGCCCCACAACTTCCTGCTCTGACTCTGCGCTATACATATCTCAGTCTCTTCTTTGTCCCGAGTCCCTGCACTTACTAGCCTGTTGTTTCGGTTCCCACACCCCTGCCACGCCAGTTTAAACCCTCCCGAACATCTCTAGCAAATCTCCCGCCCAGGATATTGGTGCTAGCATTTAGTTGAGACTAAACCATGTTTGAAGTTCAGTGGTACTTTGGCGGACAGGTTTACTCTTTGAAATTGGAAATTTGTCACACCTCTGAGAATGGTCAAATATATACTTTTTTCCTTTGACTCTCCAGTGATATTAAATGAAGATTCGAATCTGAAAGAAGGTTCAGAACTTTTAAAGTTTACCTGATGGTAGAAGGATTTTCTCCCTATTTGTATTTACAAAGCCAAATGATAAATTCCGAGGTCAACATATTTTCAGAAAAACAATGTGAATGTCAAGCAAGAACCTGCCATAATACCCTTCCCGAACAAAATCTGTCACCGTGTGTCTTGAAAATTACAATTGCCCCAGCATCCAGATGCATTGCAATGCTTTTCCAAATTGTGAAGTTTTACCAGTCATCCAGGAGGATGGTAGAAATGGTAACATCGCTGGACTAGCAATCCTGAACCCCAGCCAAATATTCTTGATGATCTGGGTTCGATTCCCACCATAGCAGATGGTGATTCTGAATCCAATAAAAATTGGAATCAAAACTTAGCCGAATGGTAACTATTTAACCACTGTTGATTGTCATAAAAAGAACAGCCCTTTAGGAAGGGAAATCTGCCATTCTTAGCCTGACTACAGAAATCCCCAGACCCATGGCAATTTTTTTTTTATTCACTCATGGGACATGGCTGGCCAGCATTTATTGCCTGTCCTTATTTGCCCTTTGGAAGGTGGTGGTGAGCTGCCTTCTTGAACTGCTGCAGTCTGTATTCTGTAGGTAGACCCCTTAGGGAGGGAATTCCAGGATTTTGACTCAACAGTGAAGGACAGAGATGTATTCCCAAGTCAGGATGCTGAGTGGCTTGGAGGAGAAATTGCAGGTGATGGTGTTCCTATGTATCTGCTGCCCTTCTCCTAGAAGGAAGTGATTGAGAACTTGGAAGGAGCAGTCTAAGGATCTGTGGTGAATTTCTACAATGCATCTTGTAGATAGTGCACACTGCTGTTACTGAGCATCGGTGGTGGAGGGAGTGGATGCTTGTGGACATAGTGTCAATCAAGTGAACTGCTTTGTCCTGGATGGTGTCAAGCTTCTCAAATGATGTTGGAGTGCACTCATCCAGGCAAGTATTCCATCACACTCCTGACTTGTGCCTTGTCAATGGTCAACAGATTTTGGGGAGTTGGGCAGTAAGTTTCTCGCTGTGGTAGTCCTAGCCTCTGTCCTGCTGTTGTAACCAATGTGTTTGTGATGAATCCAGCTGAGTTTCTGGTCAGTGGTAATCCCAGGATATTGATAGTTGGGGATTCAGTAATGGTAATGCCATTGAATGTCGAGGGGCAGTGGTTCAAGATCATTGATTGGCATTTGTGTGACGCAAGTGTTATTTACTCCTCGTCAGCCCAAGCTTGGATATTGCCCAGATCTTGTTGCATTTGATCATGGACTGCTTCAGTATCTAACAAGTTGTGAATGGAACTGAACATTGTGTAATCATCAATAAACATCCCCACTTCTGATGAATGGAAGGTCATTGATGAAGCAGCTCAAGATAGTTGGGCCTAGGATACTACCCTGAGAAGCTCCTGCAGAGATGTCAAACATCCTTTGATGACTGCAAGTGCAGGACGTGTGTCCAATTTCAGGTCCTGTCAAACTGTATGGATCGGTTGGAGCAGCAGTTGAACACAATAGGAGCGTGCAGGAGGCAGAAAGCATCACAGACAGGAATTTTAAAGACATGGTCACACCCAAGGTTCAGGCAGTTAGACGGGTGACCATTAGAAGGGCAGAGAGACAGGGCAGGAGTCTCCTGTGACTATTCCCCTTTCTAAGAAGTAAACCGTTTTGGATATTGTTAGGGGGCATAGCCACAGTAGCAGCCAGAACGGGGACACCATCGTTCTCGCTGGTACTGCAAGGGGGGTGTCAAAGCGCAGAAGAGCAGTAGTAATAGGGGACTGTATAGTCAGGGGCACAGATAAGCATTTCTGTGGCTGGAAAAGAGACTTCAGGATGGTTTTTGCTTCTCTGATATCAGGAACAAGAATTTCTCTGAGCGGGTGTGGGTCATTTTCAAAAGGGAGGGTGAGCAGCCAGAGGATGTGATAAGTGTGAACACCATAGGCAGGAGGAGTGACAAGATCCTGCAAAGGGAGTTCAGAGAGTTAAGTAGTAAATTGTAAAGCAGGACCTACAGGGTTGTAATCTTGGGATTTCTCCCTGTGTCACATGCCAGTGAGGACAGGAACAGGAACAGGAACAGGAAGATAGTACAGCTGAATGTGCCAAACAGATGGTGTAGGAGGGAGGTCTTCAGGTATGTGGATCATTGAGAGTCTTCCAGGGCAAGAGGGGCATGTACAAGAAGGGCGGGTTGTACCTAAACTGGAGGGTCACCAATATCCTGGAGGGGAGGTTTGTTAGTGTCACTCGGGAGAATTTATTACTGAGCAGATGCTGCTTGATAACACTGTTGATGACATTTTCCACCACTGTACTGATGATCAAGAGAAGACTAATGGAGCAGTGATTGGTCAATTTGGATTTGTCCTGTTTTTTTGTGTAAGGACAGACCCAGGCAATTTTCCATATTTCAGGTAGATGCCAATGTTGTAACTGTGGTGGAAGATCTTGTGGCAAGTTCTGAAGTACAAATCATCAATACTATTGCCAGAACGTTGTCAGGGCCCATAGCCTTTGCAGTGTCCAGTGCCTCCAACCATTTCTTGGTAACACATGGAATGAACTGCAGTGGCTGAAGACTCATGTCTGTGATGCTGGGGACCAGTGGAGGTGGTGGAGATGGATCATCCACTTGAGCATTTCTGGCTGAAGATTGTTGTAGTGTTGTGCTGGTCTCTCCCATCATTGAGGATAGGGATATTTGACTCTTCACTCTTGATGGTTGACTCTTAACTACCCTGTGGACAATTAAGATGGGCAATAAATGCTGGCCTAGCCTGCAACATCTACAGCACAATTGAATTTTTTTAAAAAGTCTCTATACGAGGGATAGTAGGAACCACAGATGCTGGAGAATCTGAGACAACAAGGCATAGAGCTGGATGAACACAGCAGGCCGAGCAGGAAGACTGACGTTTCGGGCCTAGACCTTTCTTCAGAAATGGGGGAGGGGAAGGGAGTTCTGAAATAAATAGGGAGAGAGGGGGAGGCGGATAGAAGATGGATTGAGGAGAAGATAGGTGGAGAGGAGACAGACAGGTCAGAGAGGCGGGGATGGAGCCAGTAAAGGTGAGTGTAGGTGGGGAGGTAGGGAGGAGATATGTCTGTCCAGGGAGGATGGACAGGTCAAGGGGGCGGGATGAGGTTAGTAGGTAGGAGATGGGGGTGGGGCTTGAGGTGGGAGGAGGGGATAGGTGGGAGGAAGGACAAGTTAGGGAGGCGGGGACGAGTTGGCTGGTTTTGGGATGCGGTAGGGGGAGGGGAGATTTTGAAGCTTGTGAAATCCACATTGATACCATTGGGCTGCAGGGTTGCCAAGCGGAATATGAGTTGCTGTTCCTGCAACCTTTGGGTGGCATCGTTGCGGCGCTGCAGGAGGCCCAGGATGGACATGTCGTCTGAGGAATGGGAGGGGGAGTTGAAATGTTTCGCGACTGGGAGGTGCAGTTGTTTAGTGCGAACCGAGCGTAGGTGTTCTGCAAAGCGGTCCCCGAGCCTCCGCTTGGTTTCCCCAATGTAGAGGAGGCCACAACGGGAACAGCGGATGCAGTATACCACATTAGTAGATGTGCAGGTGAACATCTGATATGGAAAGTCTTCTTGGGACCTGGGATGGGGGTGAGGGGGGACGTGTAGGGGAGGTGTAGCACTTCCTGCGGTTGCAGGGAAAAGTGCTGGGTGTGGTGGGGCTGGAGGGGAGTGTGGAGCAGACAAGGGAGTCACTGAGAGAGTGGTCCCTCCGGAAAGCAGATAAGGGTGGGGAGGGAAAAATGTCTTTGGTGGTGGGGTCGGATTGCAGATGGCGGAAGTGTCAGAGGATGATGTGTTGGATCCGGAGGTTGGTGGGGTGGTACGTGAGGACGAGGGGGATTCTTTTTTGGTTGTTATTGCAGGGAGGGGGTGTGAGGGATGAGTTGCGGGATTTCACAAGCTTCAAAATCTCCCCTCCCCCTACCGCATCCCAAAACCAGACCAGCTCGTCTCCGCCTCCCTAACCTGTCCTTCCTCCCACCTATCCCCTCCTCCCACCTCAAGCCCCACCCCATCTCCTACCTACTAACCTCATCCCGCTCTCTATACAAGGGTTCTGATTTACAAATGTCCACTTTATGAACACAATCCTATACAGGGTTGTGATATTAAAGATTCAGCTTATGAATATTTCCTCCTAGATAGGACAGTTTTTTTTATTTTGCCCTATGTTGTGTTCTGATTTATGTACAAATCAACTTACAAATGGACTTGAACGGAACCCATTCACAACCTGGGGACTACCTGTAATCTTCACAACTCATGAGACCTGTGATCCTCTAATTCTGAGATCTTCTGCATTTTCACTTTCAATTGCTCAGCTATTGGAGATGTTGTCTTTAGTGCCGAAACCCTATGCTTTGGAATCTTCTCCCGACATTTTTATGTCTTTCTAACCCCCTTCCCTCTTTAAGACACTCTTTGACCGTCTGAACTAAATTCTACTTTGACTACATGACATATTTTACTTTATAATGTTCCTCTAAAGCAAAATGGAACATTTCTTTATGTTGAAGGTGCTATATAAAAATAAGTAGTTGTCATTTTTCAATGCATCAACATCTAGCTGAAGCTATTAATTTCTGTCTCCCAAGCACACTCAAAGACTTTCATATTGTGCCCCACTTAATCTCATGCACATGCCTATCAGGGAGAGCTGAACGAAGTTCTTTGGATACAGTTATCAATACAGTGCTTGGTGACAGTAGCTATTATGAGAGTAGACTGAGTATCTTTAGCGTTCAAAGACACAGTAACTGCTCTAAGACCGGTTTTGTTTCTTAGGTTCCTTCTCTTAACAGGAAGCAGATACATTTCACGTACCTACTGTTCCAATATTTGAGGAAGTGAGGGATCATTAGAAGAAACAAGTTAAGGTTTGGTCCATTATTTTGCCTCCCATTTTCTGCCTGTTGGTCTCCAAATCTTGATGGTGTTGTCAGAAGTTAAGTGGATTCCAGAGATTCTCCTTCCTCACAAAGGGAGGAAGTGAAGCTAATAAGGCAGGTCATCTCTGGAAATACTCAGGTGTTACAAAGTTAAAGTGTTCAAATTAAAACAATTTTGTCTTGATCATTATAATGAAAGGTTCTTTTTAAACTGGAGATGTCGCAGCCAAATGCTCCTGAAGTTTATTAATAATTTGACAGCTATTTCTGATCCATTAGAATGGTAACTGAATAAGGCAGCCCAGCTACTCAGGATCTGAAAAAGAGTTACACTGTGAAAGTGCTTTTGTTTGAATGTCTTATAACCTAACAGTTTGTTGTTGTATCCCTGAATGCTGTACTGGATTATTCTGTCGAGAATTATTGTGGCTAAAGTTCTACATTAAGTGTAAATAGTTCAATAACACAGTGTTACTGTTAGTGGTTCTGTATCCTTTTGTACATTGTAAGTTTGTACCGTATGTCATTTAAATTAGTTTTCCTGGGCGTTGTTTAATAAGCAGATAATTAGCTTATTTTGATTCTTCCAATATAACACACTAATAGACTGCTATTTATTAGGTTCGACCTGTGCAAAAGGCTGAAGTGTCTTCAATATCTTCCCTTGTACAGACGTTTATAGTCAAATAATCATCCACAATGAGAGAGATTAAATTTATCTAGCATTGTTTGGTCGTTGACATTTATGTATAGTATCAACTTCCATACTATTTGCTTCGCCCATTCCCTGTGATGGAAGTGGGGAGGTTCCACAGTCTCACCACTCTCTAGGTAAAGAGGCTTCTTCTGAATTCATTGTTGGATTTCTTAGTGACTGTCTTAGATTGCTGTCTTCACACTTCCCCATGAGTGAATTAGTGGAAAGAATAGCAGGTCAATTAACTGATCCGGTGGTAAGGGCTAAATGAGAATTTTATCAGTTTTCACAACCCATGGGACGGAGGATGGTGTACCATACTCAGTGCAGGTGGTATCCTACTGGAACTTTACCCAAAATAAATTGTGTAGATTTTGACAGTGGATTCTGCTGTGCAGAAACAACTTCCCTTGTGTGTTTTGATTTTACCAAACTTTGTTGGATGTGAACTGTGGTTGCCAATCCATCAGTGCAAATGATAAATCCACCATTGAATGATAAATGCAGATGATCTTGAAAACTCTCAAAGCATCAAAGTTACCTATTCTTCTACCTTTTTTCAGTACTGGACAGAATCTGAGACCCACACTGTTGGTGAACATGGCTGCTGTCATCTGGCGGAAGCTGCCCAGAAGAATCTGCGACTGTCGAACATATTTAAAACCCAGTGGGTGTGGTGAAATGAGAAAACCTGAAGAAAAGGTAAAGGGAGTTAACAACAAGCAAGGTACAAGGTATGGCCAGACCACCTTCTGCTTGTCCAAGGATGCCTCTGGGTTAGCGGACTATAAAGTTAATTCTAACCCAGCAGCTTACAGCAGCACCAAAAGGAGGCCAAAGCAGAACGTTTCCAGTGAGGTGGATGATTACAGCGATGCTTTGTCCCTTTTAGCGGAAAATATTCCATCCAACGTGGGAATCAAACAAGTGTGTAACACCTATACAGTGACATGCTCTCGCCGCCTGTCCAGTGTCAGGAACACTCTGCTGGAACTGGCCAATAATAAATCTGATGAAGTGCAGTACACCGCTGGTCAGTGGCCTGCCAACTCAAAGCAGAAACTGGACACTGATATTGTAGAGATCTACGACACGAAAGAGGACCCTCGTGGCTTTCAGAAACTTAGGGATGCTTACAGGGATCTCTGTTTTGACAGCTCAGAGCAGGGGGAGCCACTGTCTGTGGAAGAGGGCCAGAAGATTCTGCGTGATGTCTCCTTCCTGAAGAGTAGCCTGACCCCGGAGAATATTGTGGACTTTTTCTGTCGGCTCAGCCGGCTGCCAGGTGAACAGCAAACAGCGGTAAAGGCGGATTCTCGGTTTGCAATGCTCTGCCGGTACAGCGTCGACAACCGGGCTGCGTTCACGTTGCCACAGCTCCTCCAGCTTTTCGAAGCCGTGGTCCGTCTTCAGGTTTCCTCACCCCACACGCTGCTGAAGAGCTACGAGTCAGAGTTCTGCCACCGTGTGTGGGACATGGGGTTCAGCCAGCTCCTGTTGGTGGCTGACCTGTGGCGCTGTCTGGGACGTGGAGCACCGCACTACATGGAGATCCTGCTGAGCTATACAGCGCTGCGGTGGAAGGAGCTGACCATGCCACAGCTTGTCCAACTCCTGTACGTGATTGGGGAGAACCGCCGGGCCCCTCCCGAGCTGATGCGGAAGCTGGAGACGCTACTCTCCGCACACTTGGAGCAGATGAACCTGGAGGAAGTGGGAGCCGTCTGCCTCGGTTTCTTCAAGTCCAAGAATGGGTTTTCTGAGCAGCTGATGAAACAGATCGGTGACAAGGTGGCCACGAGGATGGGAGACGTTAGCAATTACAGCTTGGTAAACGTGATGAAAATGTTCCGTTACACCCATGTGGATCACTTGCCTTTCCTACAGCGGCTAGGAGAAGTGGTGCCACAGAGGATTCCCAGTATCGGCACACAGGGAGTCATGCACATCGTGCTGGCATGTGCGTCCCTGCACTTCCGGGAAGAGCGCCTCCTGGAGGCCACCGCCTCCAAGCTCCCCTCCAAAGTGCACTACTGCAGGAGCAAAGACGTCGCCAAGTACCTGTGGTCTTTCTCCAGTTTGAACTACGAGCCGGAGAACGCTGAGGTCTTCTTCTCCAGCCTGACCGAGCAGATACACCGCAAAATGCACGAGTTCCAGCGCTTCCCGGAGCACTTCCTCACCAGCCTGCTGGCCCTGGCTTTTACCGGGAGGTTCCCCCACCATCTCATCAACGTTGCTCTGAGCCCACCGTTTGTCCAGCTGGCGACTGTAGAGAGTCCCTTCGAATTGAAGAAAGATCTCTTCACGCTGGATGGGACAGTGGCCATTGAGTGCCCCGATTACAGTGGGCACCGCCTCCCCCTGCACTTGCAGCAGGAGGTGACACAAATGCTGTGGGATTTCGCCAAGCAGGACATCTGCGTGAAGCCGGAGGTACTGGAAGCCGCTGGGCTGCTGCAGGTCATGCTGGGTGGCCCGCAGTTTGTCAAGAACCATCTGACACTGCCTCACACCAGGTCGGCCGACCTCGAGGTGCACTTTGACGCCTCCGGCCAGCCGCTGCCACTTAACCTGGAGGCACTGAGCGAAAAGGCGCAGAAACTCGAGTTCAAATTCAGCGGCGTTCCTGTCACAGACAAATTAATTTCCCAACTCGCAAAATGCAGAGCTGGCAGCTCAACGTTAAAAAGTCAGCCTGACCATGTGGCTGAGAGAGAACGTGTAGGGATCACTCAAAATGTGCTCAGAACTGGGGTTGAAGGTGGTGTTCATTCAGGGTTGAATCTAAAGCTGTTTCAAAGTGGAGTGCCCCTAACAGATGGTCTTTTAAACTCATTAACTAATACAAAAATTCCAATAGAGAAAGCTGCCACCCAGCCTCAGGGCACATCAGAGATTAGAAAACTCGCTATTCAGGTATCCAACCGCAATCAGTACTGCTATGGTACCCACATTCTCCTGGGGTTACACAGTATGAAGAGGAGACAGCTAGTTAAAGCTGGCTATGTGGTGGTAGAACTGCCCCACTGGGAATGGTTCCCATTACTCAAACGAACTCGGTCCGAGAAACTGTCCTACTTGCATCAGAAACTCTACAGTTCACTGGATTGAATTAGAGGGCGTGCCTTCCAGAGAGTGGACATGTCTTTTTTAAAGCTATATTTAATTGCTGAATTTAATACAATAAAAACAACTCACAGTACTGGTTTTCCACCAAACTCATTTCACTGATTTATGATGAAATATTTGTTTTTTGGGAGCTGATGCCAGAAGCTGTATTTGAATTGCACAATTGAATTTAGTCAGTCTGCTAATTGAGTTATAGATATAAATAATTAGCTGTTTGGTTCCAATAAAAAAAGCTATTAAGACTATTTTTTTAAAATAGTTTTGTTTCTGCTTACTTTTTACAGTGCTTTGTTTATTTTTCTCCTATCTCAAAGGTCCCCATATCTGCTCGGGTACACTTTTGAACCCTAACAAGTATGTTGCTGAAGTATTTGTTCTTCCACTGTGGCGATTCTAAAGAATTGAGAGTGCTATTCTATGGAGAAGGGGGAAACCACCTGTTAACATAGGAGCTTTACAAAACAGAGCAAGAGTAGACCACATTGTTCCTTGAGCCTGCTGCGCAGTTTCTGGGCTTCAACATCACTTTCCTGCCTTCCCGTTCCATGTGATTCCAAAAGGCCAAAAATCTGTCATATCTCAGTCTTAAATTTATCCCAGAAAGGAGAAACCAAACTACTGTGAGGCAGAGATTTCAAAGTTTTGTGTACTTTTTGAGTATTTCTCCTCAGCATAATTCTTGTTGCCTGTTGTTCACATTCGGTGCAGGCTTGGAGGGCCGAAGAGCCTGTTCCTGTACTGTAATTTTCGTTGTTCCATTTTCTTTGTACATGCAGATACACATGATTCTGAGAGACATCGAGTAGCAAATGAGAGCAGAAACACTGGCTACTTTCTTTCCTTTTGCCAACTAAGGAATAGTGCAGTGGATCATGCAAACATGTTGCTGCCTGACTGTACTCAGCAGGACTTCTATTTTAAAAACAATTTCCTTCTCAATCTTGGAGATTGACTCAACAAAACTATCATTGTACTGTTTTTAGTGCCAACAACAGTTGTGCCACAAAACTAATAAAAGTCAAACCGCGAGTATTGTAAATGTCCATTAAATCATCGACACCTCAATCAATGTGAAGTGTATACATCTTAAAACATGTAATGTTATGGCACCCTGTGCAGCTCAGATGGTAGTACGCATACATCTGACCTCAAAAGGTTG